CTGTAAATTTCCCTGCTTTAATTGTATTCCGTCGACATGAGTGTGGTGATATCATTCTTCCCAGTGTGTTTTCACCATTGTTTGAGGAATAATGCATCTATCGCTTCTGTTAATGTAATGGCATATATTTCTGTTGCTTATTTCAGTGATCGAAGTGTTTTACGTACCAAATCCATGTGTCGAGTTTGATTATCATACGCCCCCCTTTTACTCGATATGTCATTGAAAACATTAATTTTCTTCCATTTATAAATTAATAAGATAATATAACGTATTATCAACAATAATAAACTATACCTTTCTAAGCAATATAATATCTTTAAAACTAACTTGATATATAAAAAGACTTTAGTGCTTCGTCTTATTCGAGCATCTGTTCAAGAAATCACAGAATAAAACAAAGCGATATACTTTTGCTCGTGCATTTTATAACAAAGGCCTGTTATATATGCGCACATTTTATAGTGTGGAAACCAGCAAAATAAATCAAACGCTTGATTTATGATGACACCATGACTGACTAGAATGGTAGAAAAAGAGTTAGAGGTACTAAGTTTTGCTGCTATTCAAACAAGGTCAGTATCATATTGAATACTGATTTGCTTCGTTTTTCTTGCAGTCGTCACTCAAACATCAAGAAAATTAACTTGAGAGGCAGTCAGTTGTTATATAGTGTTGTAAATACAGTGATACGTGTTGTCTAAGTAATACAAGACTCATTAGAGCCTAACAAAGGATGCTGTTGTGTAACTGGTTTACAAATTTCCAAGTCTTAAATTATTTGCACCGTTAATATAATTATAAGATTCGTTTCATTATTAAAAATAAAAGCAAATACAAATTGTGTCATAAGAGTGTTGCACTCTTTACTTGCATTTCAGGGCGTGACTCTTATGTGTTCACGTGACAGCAATAGTTCGACATTAAAGCAGGAATCTGGGACCGGGTCGATAACAAGAAGCCATTGAAAGACCTAAACCATTTCAAAAGAAAAGGGGTGCAAAGAATACAGACCCCCCCCCCCATCATAAGAGTATGATTTACACTGAATACATTCATATATGCTTATAATTTAAGCAGCATATATAATTCTTAATTCCTGAAATTTCATATTCATTTCATAATACGGTATTTTGCATGCTTCCAACCAACTATATTTCGTAAAGACTCACGACCGCCTAAACCGATACGACTGGTATATGTGTAAACAACCTTTAGTAACGTTTAAAGTGAAGAATAATTCTTACTTAACTGAATGATAATAAAAGAGAATAACAACAAGCTTTTGTGATCTGTTAGGCTCTGAGGTTTTCCAGTATTAGCATTTTTGCTTTTATCTGAAAAAATTTAACAAAATCAACTTAAACAATTAGACATTTTATCACAGAAACGTATGGATAAGTGCAGAAATTCCAGCCATTAACGTTTACATGAGTATTTTTTAGAATTAAACTTAAAAATAAATTAAGAATGCTTTTCATGGTGCATGAAACAAGTTTAAGGTGTCTGAACAAAAATACTCACACACACACGCACACATATATATACAAGCCATACATTGTTCATTTCTCATAATTAATAAAGATTTACCTTCTAATGAATTTTTGCAAGATATGCCAGGAAAAATATTTGTATATAACGATAAGATATACTAAATATAAGCTTATTGTGAAACTTTAGTTTGAAAACCTTATATTTATATAAAGTATAAACCGGTTCAAATTGGAAATACAAAAAAAAATGGATGGAGAATAAGATATTCAGTGATGAAAAAATAAACTCCTCCATACTCATATCAAAAATATGCAGTTAAAACAGTGATTAATAAAAACTGCTTAGGCTTTCACAAATTAATAAACCATAGGCACGATAAATCTTGAATTAAGAATAAAATTTATATAATAGAAAAACATACAAAACACTAGGTCATATAAAGCAAAAAGTGATATTAGTATACACGTGTTCAACATTGAAATTGACCAACTGTGAAAAAAAGCGACGTTATTCTACTGTTTGTTGTTCAGTTCAGAGCTACAGAAGGGGCTTTCTGTGCTCTGCCCACCACGCGCATTGAAAGCCTTTTTTTTAGCGTTTTAAGCCCAGACCTTCCGCTGAGCACCGAGGAGTATTAAACTAATTGCTTTACTTACATGTGATAAACGTCAAATATTTAATTAAATTATGGTTTGCGACATTTCATTATAAACAGTTTAGAATATCAGAAGCTAAATTTTGTTGAACTTAATTCAGACGTTATCTTATCCTTGTTCCTAACTATAAAGATAAAATTGATAATGGTCTTCGATGTCCTTCCCGATGAAGATTTTTAAAAATATATAATTGAACTCTCATGAAAAACAAACAAACAATATGTTTATTTATAAATTCAGAATTGGTGCTGAAATATATCTGATTGGTTTTATTAGTCACCAAATTGATCAAAAACAAAGTACGTTATTCGCCGGAACACATCCAACTTTCAGTTTGGTTCAGCCTATGAACTAAAGCATAAATGTTTCCTTCTAACTGAACAAATGTGGTAAATATTTAGGCATCGTACGTTATTTATAGCTTCAAGAAAGCAGATATTTGAGAAAATTTTTCATTATAGTGCTCGAAGTGGGGGTACGCACGCGCATAAAATGGTGATAGTGTTTTTCATTGTTGGAATTCTTAATCAAGATGCACAACTGGAAGTATGCAAAATGCCAAATTAGAGAAGTTACTATCCTCTTCGAGAACTGTATATGTATACATATCACTTTTCTTCACGAATATGTATAAATGACTCGAGAAATTAAAAAGTTGTATAAATACAAAACGAATGTTGTAAATAATTAACTGGTTAATACTATACGATTTGTTTTAACAAAATTCAGTGTTATAGGGTCGTTTGCTTCTTGAAGTAATATGTATTTTATACTCCAACATGCATTACAGAAATTAATAATTTTGTTTTATTGGAATAGTTATATGAAGGATAGCATGACATTATAATATTTTGAAGTATCCCAAATTTCACTATTTAAACAAATTAACAGAGATAAGTCTTTGTGGCTCTCACCCCTTACCATTTCAGTAGTTCAGCGGCAAGTCTGAGGGGTTATAACGCTGAACATTGGATTTCGATACACCCACCGTGAGCAGAGCACGGATAACATTTAGTGCAGCTTTACGCATAACAACAAACAAATCTTTGTTGACTAACGTGTAAAACAGATTTCAAAATTCTTCGCTTTGCATCCTTGTCTATACTTTTATATTACTACTTGTTTTTTTAGTAATTCCTTGAAAAACAAAAGACGTCACTGACCTTGCCACAAAATATTTTCATTTGTGTCAGTTTTTAATTTGTCAAAATAAATCTAGTAGCGTTTGCTCATATTTATTTTGGTTGTTCTGCAGGAAAGAATAAAAAAAAATACATAATTTCACAAAATAATATTGGTTGTTTAAGTTTTAAGAAGGTTCAATTCCATAAATATTAATAAAAGGATAAAATCAGACTAAGTATCTGTACGTGTTCATAACAAGAAATCTAGGGCATGTTACGTCACAAGTAAACCATACTGATAAAGAAAATAAATTTTCGGTGAAAATGCATAAGTTCAAGATTTTATAAAATTGAAACAATTCCCACCCCCCTATAGATACTAAAATAAATAACCTTGACAAAGCACATTGCGATTTTGAAAGATACAACCATTAAAGTCACCCATTTCCGACAAATATTATTAATTTTTTGCACATACCTCAAAGATGCATAAATTATAATGTACGAGACCAGTAATTAACTCGTCCATAACACCAACATTTTTTTATACAATGCAGAAGCAAAAATAATCATTGAAAGCCGTATTTCAATACTCACTACTACAGTTTCCTTCTTTTGAAATTCAAGCTAGTTAAGAGTTCTACTCAATAAAATTCATTCACGTGGAAGTCAAAAACCTGCATTTTCCTTGTTCGAAGCCTTAATTGGTTTACATAAACATATTTGCTACCAATTCCTTGTCTTATTTCGTACATCTCCTGCAGCAAGCTTGTATCACGGTAAGCTACGGACACCAAAACTAAATTACAGTTTAAAAAATTTAATAAGAAGACACATGTCACATTTATGGTTGAAATGTTAACTACGACTGCCAATAATATAAACTGTGTTGATAGTTTTGCTTCTTATTTACCACACTGAATTTTAACTAATCCTATTTGATAGTACTAGTACTGCTATGCATCCCAATTGCCAAAAGCTGACACATCCCACATAGTTAAAAATTAAAATAACAATCTGGCAGGCTTTATCTTAGGTCACGAATATATTTCTGAAAATCTAATATTTTCAATTGTACGAAACCTCTAGTGTTCCTAAAAGTATTTCAGAAGAAAAGCGGTACAACTCCTACAAAAAAATAACACAAACAACAGTAAATAGAACTATACACGACATCAGTAAATAGATAAAAAATACACGATAAACATAGCTGCCCTATATTCGTTTCCAAAGTAACAAGATAAAACACTTGTTACTTCAGTGCATATAAAATTAGAAGTGTTACGTTTGTAACGAAAAATCTCTTAAACAAAATCATTATAAATGTGTAGGGCTTATGTTTGGAAATTTACACATCCTTTGTTTCTTATTATTTCTTTCTACATCTACAAGTCAGTGAGTACAATGATTAGAATTAATGTCTGGGGAATAATCGCTGCCTTCCAACGTAAATACGTCATGATTACTAGCCTAACGTAATAGTTGTGACGTCATCAATATGTGTGTTCTTTTTTAAACGCCATTACGAATTTTGCTGAATAAAAATAGAATTTCATTCTAATTGAGCTTTTTCATTATTTTTAGATCCAGTGTAACTGCTTTGTTTTTTATTTTTAATATGTTATATAAAATATATATTGTAGTTTTTAAAATAAGTGCATTAAGACGTCATCAAACGCTACATCCAAGCACTCCCTGTGGCAGCCAATGGGAACCCCGTTGGACATTGGCATGTCACGGGACGGGTGAGTGTTTTCTGAATAATATTTTGCTGATAAAATTTTCAGGGAAAACATCATGTAGCAAAGCTCAGTACTTCTGAAATGTCATAAAATATCATTTGCTTTTGAAAATAATCCCTTGTGTTTAGTCATAGGTTTGCTTTTTTCTTTAACTGACTCGTTTTTAGCAATACCACATGAAGTAGCTTTCAGGGCTCTTGAACAAGGTCATACCATTACGCTTTCTAGTTCTACCGTATCTGAGCCACCAAGCTACCGAGCTGTAGCCTGACGGTGCTACCTGCCGCCATGGAAGTAATCGACCGTCTTTAAAAGTTGCTGTTTTGCATTGTTAAAGCGAAAATAATAAAGCTTATTTATTACATTGTTCTTGCTAGATTCAGTATAATTATGATTTTTATTTTTATTTAACTAAAATTAGAGTTTTATCCATAACGCAAATTAAGTAAGAGAATAGTAAAGTGGGGTATGGTACACTGGGGGTACTGTACTAGCGGTAGTGTACTTATTAGGAATGATTGGATGAGCTTGAGCTACAGAATAGGCTAGAAATTTTTTTTTTTTTCACTTAGCTGGCTTGCTTACTTCAATAACAAGTATGTTTTAGTAAACAAATAACGAAATGTTAATAATGTCAAAACTCGAAGGTTTCATAATTTTACACAATTTGTTTAGGGTAATCCAACAGGACTATATGAACTTTTTATACAGTTCAAACTTAAACACCAATTGCAATGAATGTTGTATTATTTGTACTAAATACTAAACAAGTATAGTTAGTTTAAATGTTTTGTAATCGTAAGTTGTAGTTGTGCTGTCATATTTGCATATAATAATATAGTAGTTTGTGTTTTCGCATCTACAAACCAATAAAAAATATTGACGTAGAAACAAAGCAACTAGGATATGTATAACAATATTGCGAAGAAATTTCCAGAACGTGTATGTGATGTAATGAATAGGTATTCTAAAAATTAAACTTATTGCTATACAGTGTGACTAAAAAGTACTGCGTTGTTCTGTCGTATATTAAAAGTTAAAGAGGCTGAGGTTCAACTTTAATTTGCACTTTATTTACTTGCTGACACTGTACAAGTTCTAATATTTATGAAGGTTAACAACAGAAAATGCTCATTGCTTTAGTTTTTTTCTAGTTTTTTAATCTATAATATATCTTGCATAATTGATGTAGACTATATTTCTTGTAATGTTGATTTTGAACAACGGAAAGAGAGTGTTCTACGGTAATGTAGGTGCTGTTAAGACTATATATATATTAGTGAAGTAAAAATGGTTAATAAATTATAATTTTATGCAAAAGGAAATATTGTGGCATTAAAGTTTAAGCGTAGATTGTGTGAGAATGTCGTTTTATATTATTTTTATGTGATTTAGTTTAGTGTTGTTAATGATAAACTTTTCAGATAAAGGAATTTTTTTAATACTGCCAGGAGTTTTTATTTAACGCTGTTTCAAAAATTTTTACACTGTTAATATGAAACATAATACTCCCCCATTATTCTGACATTGCTACATTTTTAAAGAACAGGCCACAGATATGAGTTTAGTGTTTATACAATTTAAACAATTAGTATAACCTGTTAATTTGAGAAATCATCATCTATATTGATATCTAGGATTATTTTTCTATGTGAATGGAAATTTATAGTAGGGTAATTTATAGAAGGATGAATCTTGGTAATTTTTTACCTGTTGTAGGTTTGTCAAGTTGTGATTAAATCTGTTCTGTTTCTATGTTGCTGTAAAATTGTAGATTAAGAATTTTTTTTTAATTGTACAAAACTTTTTGATAATTAAAAAAATATAGCCCAACCTGTCCGTTTATATGGAAAAATTGACTAACACATAAAAATATATAGTTTTATAGTCCAATTGGCTAGAAAATATGTAGTTTTTCTGACATATTTCAATTCAAAACAACTACTTTTTCAAAGTGAACCACTCAAAATCACAATGTTGCTGGCACCAAAATAGATTTTTTTATGTATTTGTAAAGAATACGTACAGACTTATTAGGCTTTTGTTATAGGTTTTGTTTACCGTTACAGTGAAGAACTTTATCCCTTGTATAAAACTATCTTTTTTACCATATTATTATGAACACATAAAAATACACACGCGTAGTTCAGGTTGGTTGAAGAAATACGTTTTATAGGTCTTGTTCTATAGCCTGTAATAGGTTCTGTAAGTATTTATAGATTCAGTGGGAGACCTGAAAATAAATTTTATACTAAATTTAATATCAAAATACACAATAAGTAGTTTACAAATATTGAGTTTAATTAAGCAGTTTGAGTTTTGCTAAGTTATTATCTCGGTGCAGGGCCGTAGGAAGCCATAGCCTGACTACTTTTTCGTGGCATGTATAGCTACAACTTATATATATTAAAACTAGCTTCTTTTATTCAATACATTAAGTTGGGTGTATGCAGCATTTGTCGTTAAAATGGTTCAAGATTAAATTTCATAGTATTAACTTTTGAATCATTTTCATGATGGAAACGGGGGTACACGCCGTGTACCTAGTTCTCAGATTGCATTATTTTTCCCATTGGTCAAGTTTAGTACTACTGAAGATGTTTATTAGTCCTATCGTCACGGGTCAAAAGCCATATCGTCACGTTTGTTGACTTGCGTTCAAAATTTTATTTAACTACTAATTTATGAATTTATGTCAATAAGTTTGGTATCAAATTGTAGATTATTATTCAATTTTTGTATTATACATT